CTTTCTACTTAAAAAAGGCTTGAGACTTGCATATATAGAAACATGAAATCCAAATTTTAAAAGAAAAAGAAAAAAACCACACACACAGACACACAAAAAGAAATGTTTAAATTTTAAATTTTTAAATTTTTCCTTAATTTTTTATGCTAAATTTAGCCACTACTGCCCTTGAGTATTGCCAAAGGGGTCACTGAATGGGCATTGTGGCAGATCCATTTAAGCCTGTGGCAAAAACCTAGTGGTCAGGCTTGAGGAGGGAACGTGCCAAGAACAATAGAAAGCCCAAGAAAAATCAGCAGATTTTCATACCAACCCACCCATGTATTAGGCTCTACAAACGATGTCCCAGTGACACAGCCATGAGGAGCCATGCAACTCTTTGCTCTGCAGAACACAACTTGCATCAAAGCTGCCATTGTACACCTGGCAGATAACTGGCTGTCTGAGAACTGACTTTTAAGCAAATAATCCCCGTTAGCTGGCACTGGGGGGAATAAAATCAAAAACAGAAAAAACAAAGCAAGCTTCACAAACACAATCACTCAGGCTACAACCTTCCTCCCTCACAATTCCCTGCTGATGAATGTCAGACCTACCAAAGAGATGGAGCTTTAAGCTCTGGGTGGCCTAAGCCCCCAGTGTACAAATTAAATGAGAATATGGTCATCTGACACCTGTTACCTTTGCTTAACTGCCAACTTTCCTGGAGTTCTGGTCTCTTATCAGCAACAGCCTCTAACACTATCAAAGTGCAGATTACCATTTCTTTTCACAAATATTAGTGCTCTGCAGTTTTCAAATTAACAATTGAAGTATTGTTCCATGCAACATCAAAACCCCCACAAAACTTCATTTCCTACAGCATTTGGCAAGGGAGAGGGGAAAAATGTCTCGAGACTTCTATTAAAATCTTTTTGATTCAGCAGGAAAACTGTTAATTTACTTATTTTAACTGAAAAATTAGGGTTATAAATAAGGTCTAGGAGCTACAAGCTCATGATATGCAGGGCATCAGCCTGAACTAACATGGAGACCAAATAATCCCTCTAGGGACTGAACGTGACACTGAACAACTCCAGCAAATCTACAATTTCCTATTTCATATTCTTGCTTACCATGCTCATTTACACCACATTATTTTTTTTTAAATTTTATCTACCCATTGCTTATGCACACCTATTTTTACTTGCAAGAAAAAGAAGATAAAAGTTAAAATGCTTACAATAGCCTCCCCAAAAACCAAAGCATGAGAGATTATGCTGACAGTCAAAAGTCAACAAAAAAAGTCAGTCTGGCTACATCTAGATCAAACCAAAGTTACAAGATCCACAATTACTTCCTTTTGATAGTTGCTCAGTACATCCCTTTTATAATAATTTTCCACCTTTTAACACTGGTTCAATATTTGATAACCTGTGTTTCATCTCAGCTGCCTGTCTGCTTTCTCCCTTTTGGTGCAGGCCATCATCTCTTGCCATCAATGTTAAGTCATTCAGATGCGCCTAATCTCCCCTCTTAAACCACTGTTACCTTCTTGCAAGTATTTAACCATTAAATTAATTGCTAGGACTACACCAACTCGCCAGGACTGCACAACCCTCGACCAGCAGGGTCTGGAAAATGCATCTACCATTCCTGAGGCCAGCTGTCCCCTGCCCAGGTTGTACTCCTTTAAGGTTCAGGCAGGGATTGTGCCAGAGGCTGCATCAGTCCATCCAGCCTCACAGAAGTGCACCATTAGCGTGCCCCTACGAAAACTGGGTTTCATTAAACATGATCGATTTTGCTGACTCCACTTGCCCTGAACAAGGTGGACATTTCAAACATCTCGTATCATTTGCTTGTTCATTTCCCGCAAACACAACCTGCAGAAAGAATGCATCATGTTTCAGACAAAAAGCTTCTCTTGGAACACAAGCAAAAGAACAGAAAAATTTATACACACTACATTGACCAGCCTTTGAAGACAGCGTGTCATATTAATAACTAATTCCACACACAAAGATTTAGCATCGACAGCAGTGTTAATCCATAATTAACTTTTGGAGATTTTTGAATCCTGATCAAAGACATAGCACCCAGAACTAGCTCCAGTTATCTGCAGTTGTGCTATCTGTATGTTTTGAACTCCTAGAATTTTACAGAGAGGAGAATTGTACTATCATGTGGATTGCTCTCCATAAGTACTTTTTCCATTCTCGACACGTCTCTCGAACCTAAATAATACCAAGCCAGGACACTGAGGTCAAATTTTGAGGTTATTCACTCCTAGCACTCTGCAAGCATGGTTTTGGGCTGCCTCACTACAACTGCACAGGAACATCATAAGTGCACTGTGCAGATCACTTACTGCTAATCACAACTGGGAAACCGTGACAAAGTGGGAGGTAATCTGGGAAGGGCTGACAACTCAGTTCTCAAGAAGCTCTCCTCAAGGAACTGCTACATACAGTAGACACACACATTCTTGTAGGATGAGAAATGCTGGTTTTCCTGAAAGTATGAAAACCATAAACTTAATTCAAATATTTTGAATAATCTTCCACCAGATATGCTTCTTTCCATAAGAGCATAGTGGTGGTGAAGTAGATTTCAGCGTCAGCTTGATACCAGCTGCCAGACTGTAAGTTCACATGGGCACATATACTTTGATCCTCTCAGTTAGGGATTACTTTGTCCCCTTTTCTATCTCTATATGAAGTGAACATTTGCTCATCTGCTACACTATCACAGAAATGAACCATCTAACTGCTACAAAAATACAGTCATCTAGAATTCTGGCATCCAAACCATAAAATTACTATGTTTCTCTAGTGAGAGCACAGCAAACAGCACTATACACCTACTTACAAAACTTACTTACTGTAAGATCCAGCTCCTTACCACCTAAACATCACCACAGAAGATCTTCAGCAAATTTAAAAGTAAGGTTTGACAGTGACCATATAAAACACTCAGAGAAAGCCTGTGGACACTGCTACTGTTTTCAACCACGGAATTTCCATATAAGAGAAACAATCTCAGTAATTGCAGCTACCTCAAGTCCATACCAGTGGCATTTAGCATAACCACCATATAAATACTAATAAATAAAACCACTGTGTCATTTTAACCCAAGATGCAGAGCTTTTGATACCAGGGACCAGACAAAGTCTGGCTGCCCCTCTGCACACCATCTTTTTAATAAGTACACGGCCATATTCAGAGTTACATTTTTTCCCTCCCATGCTTCCACAGATGGGCCACTTTTACTTTTTAAGTGAAATTTGCAATGATGTAACCTTTTCCTGGTGGCTGTTGTGTGTCTCCCCTTTGCTTACAATTTCAATCCCTCCCAGGTTTTTAACATCATGCGCAGAACGCAATTGCCATTCCTTAATGCCACTTAATAGTTGGAAGCCAGGATGCAGTCCACTGCCACAGGAGTTACATGGGCCACAGTTTTTGAAAAAACACAGCAAAATAATTACTTTTATTAATGCTGCAACTGATGAACAAATGCTGCCAACACCTCTCATCTGTATGGCCCAATGAGGCATTCAGTGTCCCACTAAGAGTCTCACTTTACTATTCACTGTTTTACCTTAACCAGAGGTACTTTCAGCCCCAGTCTCCTATATGCAAGTAGATTGCCATGTGCATTAACTGCTGTATATGAATGACAGCTGCTATGCAGCCACAAACATATCCTAGTGAATAACTTTTCTCTTTTTCCAGCCAGAATCAGAATATGTTTGCTGTCTTCAAAACCATGTTCTTCAGGAATCAGATGGGGAGGTGATAGGAAACTCAGTTACTTTTCTCCTCCCAGCATCTGGAATTCTCTACGAAAAAACTGATTTTAAAAATTTTCTCGGGAATCACTTCAAACCAATCAATGAACCGTTCACAATATTCCTGCCTTTGCATATTTCAGGACAGTCTGCCAGTCTGCATTTGCCAAAGCAAAACTTCCAGGATCAGAAGTGTAAAACGTCTCAGAAAGGCTAAGGGGGAGAATCACACTCAAACTTCTTGGATCGATAAGGCAGAGGAAAGAGGAAGGGCACGGCTGAAGTTCTCAGCCAACGATGGTCACACTGCCCAACAAACCAGTTGATTAAAAAGAAGTTTGCAGCAACAAGAAAGTATTGGGGAGGGTGGGGGAAGGGAGGAGAGGAGGAAAGAGAAAAAGAAAAATTTTTAAAAAAAAAAAAGAAGGGAAAAAACTCAAAGCCCAACAAGTTGCCCATGGAGGGAAAGCCAAGTCTGCAACTGCCTTCACACGCACAGCCAGGGATTTCAACATGGGGCTGCGGGAGGCCGGCGCGGGCGGCTGTCGGGCTCAGCCCCGCCGGGGCCGGGCCGGCGCTCCCCGCACCCCGGGGCACCGCGGGCCGTCCCGCAGGAGCGCAGCCTGGCCCGGGGCGCGGGGCGCGGAGGGGCCGCGGGCGGCCGCGCTGCTGCGGGCCCCTCGGAGCCTGGCCCGGCGCGGGGGGCGGCCCGCGGGGCGCCGCCGGACGCCCGTGCGGCGGGGTCCCCTCGCACCGCCCTCCCCGCCGGGCCTGGAGGGCCGGGAAGCCTGGAGCTGGATTTCCAGCCCTCCGCGGCGACTCCCGCCCGGCCCGCGGCGCCTCGGCCCCGCCACCCGCCCCGGGGCAGACCCGGCACCGCCGGCCCCCGCGCTGCTCTGCCGGCCGGGCTCGGGCGGCTCCCGCACCGACACCCCCGGGGGCCGCCAGGCACCGGCGAACAAAGGGCCGAGGCCCGCCAGGCGCCCGCGGGGAGCCGCGGAGGGGCCGCGCTGGCCGCTGCGGAGGGGCCGAGCCCCCCCCGCTCCCCGCGGCAGCGCCGGGCACGCGCTCCCCGCTCCCCGCGGGCTCCGCCGCCGCCGCCGGCCGCCCCCGGCCCCGCTCTCACCGCTCCCCCCGGCGGGGCAGCCCGGACTTTTCCCCCTCGCTTCCCTCCCCACTCCGGGAAGCGCCATATTGATCGCGGGCGCCGCTCCCCGCGCCCCTCACCTTGGCGATCGCCTTCTTGTACCGGGTCACCGCTTGCTGGATCAAGCTGAAAACTTTCATGTTCCCGTCCCCGCAGGGCACGACCACCCGCGTCCTCCCGAAGCACACCGTGACTTTCATCCTGCGCGGCCGGGGGGCTCCCGAGTCCCTCCGGCCCCGCACAGCCTTCCTCCTCCTCCTCCTCCTCTTCCCCTCCGCCCTCCGCCACGGCCGCCCCCCGGCGGGGCGCGGCGCTCAGCCCCCGGCCGCCGCCGGGCTGCCGCTGCGGGCGCCCTGCCTCCGCCGCGGCTTCGCGGCCGGCCCGGCGAGGCGCGGGGAACGGAGGGCAGCGCAGGACGGGGGCCGGTGCTGCCTTCCCGAGGCCCGGGGCCGCTCACATGCCGCGGCGCTGCCCGCGGCCACCTGCTCGGCTCCTGCCCCGGCGCGCAGCGGCGGCGGGCGGGGCGGCGGCGCTGGCTCCCGCTCCGGAGGCGTGGGGCGGTGCGGCGGGGGGGGGGCAGCCGGCCGGCTCCGCGGGGCGCCGGCAGCGCGGACGGGGCGGGGGAGCCGCCGGGATCCGCACACGGTCGGAGCGAGTGCCCCGACAGAGCTCGAGGGGGTGCGGCTGCCCCCGCCTCGCTAAGCCCCGCCGGGTACCGGGGATGCGCAGCCGGGGTGGCACCGGCACAAGCAGCCCCCTGAAATCCTGGTGCCTCGGCCCCGGCTAGGGCACTGGCGGGAATGGGCACCGCTGCTGTTCCTTCTCGGGGCGCTGCCTGCCGCCGCCCTGCCTCAGGTACGCGGGTCCGGGGAAGGCAAGGCATGGCACCGCAGCGAAGGTGCGCGGCAGGACCCCGCGGGGCTCCGCTGCTCCTCCGGCTGTGCGGGGGACAGAGCACGGCCGAAATCCGATGGTCTTCCTGGTCTTTCGGGCATCTGTTAACGCAACAGGACCAACACTGTGCAAAAGCTGGTGCATCATCAGTAACACCAGCATCAATGGAACCGCTGAGCAATCCCCTCCGCAAAGCCGTCAAAAGTCACAGGGGTTTATAGACTATATCGTTCACTTTTTTCCACGGATTTCATCGAGGACAATGGAATTGCACAGTTCATTGGTCGTTCAGTGCGGCCTGACAATATGTATCTTTTGTATAGAAATGGTAAAACGATTTAACTAGAGTAAAGCAGAGTTTGGAGGACAGTAAGGCAGTGAAAAAAAAAAATCTTTCTATTTTTTTTCTTTTTTTTTTTCCCTGAACTTATACACAGCACTAAAGATTTAAAATTCAAGTAAGCTTTGTAGCACATGATGTCAACACCCTTCTACAACACCGGACAACTCAGCACGTGTCCTCTGGTGCTCCCTGCCCAGCAGCTGTCCCAGCTGGCAGTCTGCTCTTATTTCCTTAGCAATAGTATTAGTAACTTTAAGAACTTCAAACCTGGTACAAATGGCAAAGCTGTCTGCGGTTTAGTAGGTACAGAGCTAAGAAGCAGGATTAATGATGTTTTTAAAACATCAAAGGTAAAATTATTGCCCAGTTAAGTCAAGGGTGAAAATGGCATCCCTAACCCTTTGCATTCTAGTTAGGAGTTTCCAGTATAGAAAATAGAGGAGACAGTTCATATTAATTTGGTTCCATGCATGTTGTCCAATTTCATTGAAATCCATAGAACCTTTCCTAATAAATGCAGTTTTGGAAAGCTTCTTTGAAAGATCAAAGAATCCATTTGCTGACTTACAGATAATTTCTAGCTTAGATGCCAGTTTTATTACCATTACCCACCTGAGTTATCTGGACTAATATATCTGAATTTTATATGAGAAATAATCTGTCTTTTAAAGCAGGAAACAAGCACGCCTGCCATGTTGTATTTTGTCATATCCCCAGTGTTCACTTGTGTGGAATAAAAGCAGCATGCAGGAGTTTAGAAAGGCAGAAATGAAATAAAATGGTGTAAACAGTTTACAGCTCATGACTGAAACAACTGAGTACACTCTGCAGTTTTATGGCCATAGTTCATCTAGTTTATTACTGGAAAAAGATGAAAATGTCCTCTAACCTGCTGCTTCTGTACTTTCTAGGTGATCATAAGAGCTGCTGGGAAAGGATGAAAGAGCTATAAATCCTTGGTTTAATATACATCACCTAAGAAATTTGCAGAAAGGACTGTGAAAATATGAAGTCAATAGAGGCTCTTCCCAGGTTGTTTTTAACACGAATTTCACAATGTCATAGGCTTTGTAATGTTCCACATTATACTTCAGTTGTCATTTGCATTTATCTGCTAAACCATAATGTTGCAGATTAGAAGCTTCACCGTACCATATTGTTTTATTTATAAAGCTTAATACTGCTGCTGGTCGACAGTAACTTTTTCACTGTTCAGACACAGCTACAGGTTTTTCATGTTTTTCTGTGATTTAATTCCTGCTCTTACTGTCTCTAACAAGTTTCTTGGCAGTTTTCCCAGCTGTTCTAACAGTCCCCTGGAAAAAAAAACTCCAAAAGTTTAGAAAGAAATAATGATAGTTTTTCCATTAAATGTGTGAAACAGGAAAATTTGGTAATGAAGTACAAGAATACAAGCCTATCCTGGGATCTGATTTAAGGCCAAAACTTAAAGACTTGCACATGAATAGTGATAGACCTAACAGGAATGAGAACCTCCGAGATTTGAGTTTCTTCCCCACTAGATACACACACAAGTTATACATACATCATTCTGAAAACATTTTTAACAAAATTTACCACATATACTGTTTGTTTTGTTCTTCTTTAAAAGGAAGAATGAACTTTAAAAAACAAATATAACAAGGCTGTGAGATTGCATGAGGTCTAATTATGTAAGATAAATGAAGTATAAAACATTATTATAAGAGATTATGAGAAAAGGATTATACTAATCAGGAGAAGAATTGGCAAGAGCTGCTGGTTTACAAAAATTACAGCTACTATCCACTCTGCAATATGGGCAGCACATATATAGTTCTGGATGTTGAGCTTTCCTGAGCTAACATACCACAGAACCTGTCAATTCATTTATTAATGGTACATTGCTGGAGGATTTCCATGAAGACATCATCTGTTTTGCAGGAAGAAGTAGGTGGCATGGGATGGAGGGAATCAGAGCTTGTGACTACTAATGATCACTAGTCAAGTTCTGTTCAAAACAGCCCAACAGTTGAAAGCCCCTGCATAGACACTGCAAACATGCAATTAGTGAGAATCTTGCAATTAAATTAAGATTATCAAAAGCCATTTCAATGTGAATGTTAAAATATTCAGACAGAGGAATGCTGCTGTTTTCCAGAGCTATTTCAGAGTTTATCCCACCTTTATATTCTACATCAAAGAATTTTTATGGAATAATTCTGGATGTGTTTAGGTTTTGTAGTCTGTTCATGGTATACAGATATTCCCTGGTTTCACAAGAAAACACCAATTCCATGTACAGTATGTTTTAAGTTCACTCTATTTTAAATATAGATATTTTCTTAAGCCGAGTAAAGGTCATTCAGTACTGTAGAAAGACCAGTGTCAAACTTGAAGAGTAAGAGTATTCCTTGAAGAATTACAGGGTTTTTTTTTTAAAGTGCCATTTGTGAAAATTCCTTAGGGATATACCAAGCAGTACTAGGTTTTAATGATTTAAGATAGCTACCTGCTGTAAGACTTCTGGTGAGTTATTAGGTAAAGCCTTAACTTCTTTTTCAAAAATCTGAATTGAAAGTTCTGAATCATTTACATTTTACTCTGAGGTAGAAATCTAATCAAGGTAGATGTGTCTGTGACTGATCTTTCCATGGATAACCTTTCAGTTATAGGAGTGGGTTGACTTCTCAGCTGTTACATTTCGTGATTTTTTTCCTGCCATACTGATGGTTCTTCCACAAAGGGGTAAGAGAGTGTTTCCCATCATTTTCTTTTATGAATGAGAAAATCATTAAAGCTTATTAAGTAATTGTGGCTAGCCATGGTCTGGAAAAAAAAAAAAAGAAACTGAATAAAAACTTGTTTTCTACACCTTCTCAAAAGATTCTGGGATTCGGGGACTGAAAAGCCTCAAATCAGTAAAAGGTAGTTACAGAATCCCACATGTATTAATGTTAGACTTAGAGGATGCAGACGCACACATTTGGGAAGACAAGAACTTTCTTTCTGGTAGAAGGAAATTGTAGCAAAGAACAATGTATGATTTTCAAGAAAAGCCACAAGACTGTGGCCCCCTTTCCGGGGGCTCTGACCTGTGTCTCAGGCAACTTTGGGTAGTGGGAAACTGTTTAGGGCTAAAGAATGAGTATAGGTAAATTCACTACTCTTTTTTTCTGTATCTATACTGGTCTTACACTGATTTTAAAAGAATTATGTTCAAGGACTTTGAATAGTTTTCTTGATAATGCTCTGGTGATTTTCAGGCATCATGGAACTGTTTAAATGGAATTGCTTTCTCTAATTTATGTCAACTAATGGCTTATTGAGCTGAGATCTGGGAAGGCTTGAACTAAAGTACATTGAGTTACTTCTTGGTGAGGGCCCTTAAAGGCAATCCACAGGCAAGGAAGCAGAATCATTAGAAGTCTAAAAAAAGTGAAAAACATTATCTGTATCAAAAGAGTGAAGTTCCTGGGGGTGTCCAGAGCACACAAGGGGGCTTTGCCAAAATAGACCAAAATAGTTTTTGTGTGTGCTAGAGCTATGGAATGTCACAGGGAAAACATTCACACCAATTGCTTTAGCCTGCTCTCATACCACATACTGCATTTGTGCTATGGGCTGAACAGAATTATATTCACATAATGGTACAGGTAGGGCTCTGAATGTCCCTGTACTGCAAAGCACATATCTAAGCCACACGCTGGAGTTGGCCAACTCCTTTTATTTGCCCTTAGGGCTGTGGAGAGTTTGCAGGTCTGTGCCTGCCATGAGGGACACCCACAGCAGGGATTGCACTGGGAGGAGAATGATCTGTCACCTTCTCTCCTGCCACAGAGCTCCTCTGCAGACTCCACACACCCTAGGGTTTGCTCTGGGAGAATACGAGGCTAGTTATACCAAAAGTCCTTCATCAGTTTTAGTTTCAGCAAGCTTTACAGAGGAAAGGAAAAGCGAAAACGGGGACACTGAATGTCAGCAGCTGAGACCAGA